TCTCTCCAGCCCCCATTCTATCAATTTTTAAGGCTGCTTTGGTTTTAGTTCTAAATTATTTCTAATTCGAGGTTTCCCTTTCCCCACAATTCTCTCATTTCAGATGCTTACTAGAGAATAACAACTATATTCCTCAGTTTATCTTTTTTATTAGTGTATATTCATTGTACAATATAACTGATTATGTTATACTTCAATTTATAACGTGCACTTTAATTATATCCACCGTCCATACAAACTATGTCCCTCTTATCCCCACTTTCACTGGTCCTCTTCCTAATTAGCCCTACTTTTCAGGTAATTTTTTAAAAATATTTTATTTATTATTATTTTATTTTATGTGTATGCATGTATTGCCTGCATGTAGGTAAATGCACCCGTATAGTGCAATGCCCGCGGAGGACAGAAGAGGCTGTCGGATCCCCTGGAACTGGAGTTACGGACAGTTGTTAGCTGCCATGTGGGTGCTGGGATTCGAACCTGGGTCTTCTGCAAGAACAACTAGTGTTCTTAACCACTGAGGCATCTCTCCAGTCCCAGGTAATTTTTTTTTAATTCAGAATTTTCTTATTAGTGAAAACATGCAAAGCATGTCTGCCGATAGCTTTTTCACTTCACATGATGATAACCAATCACATGCATTTTCCTACAAGTGACATATTTTTTTAACCTTATGAAGAAAACACTATTTTGCATACATGCACGTTTTCTTTATCCATTGATTGACTGATTTACATCTAGACTAATTCCATCACAAGGCTACTGTAAAAAGCGTTCCAATGAACATGGGTGAGTAGGTATCTCTGATGCATGCCAACTCAAATTTATTTGGTAATATATCCAAAAGTGGCATAGCAGTGTCCCCACTGTAAACTGTTCTAGCTAATATTTATCTCAAACTAAGGAAAAAAATCAATTTACTACTAATCAGCAAAATTAAACTATTTGGTCTCTCCACTAGATTCTGCTCACCTCTTAAGCCTTGTCACATCATTTCCTCACCCCCTCCCCAATTACCCTAACAGCCATGTAAAAAGCCAAGCACAGCATAATGCAGCTGGAATCGCTCTGCTGGGGAGGATACCAGGGGCTTCCCTGACTAGTCAGTTTAGCCTCACAGGTGCAGTCTCAGATCAGAGAGATCCTATTGCCAAAAATAAGGTGGACAATAACTGAGGAAGACACCTAAAGTTGACTGACCTCTGCACACACACATGCAAGTGCACCCCCACCCCGCCGTGAATACACACACACACACACACACACACACACACACACACACACACAAACAAATAAAAAACAAACAAACAAACAAAACACAAAACTGAAAACACATGGCCACAAGGCTCTAGTTCTGTTCTCAATCTGAGATCTACTAATCAGGTAAATCTTACTAAGCAATGAAATGACTATTTGGAAAACAAAACCAGCTATTTCTTACTAATAAGCTGTCTATACTTCATATGATCAACTTAATATATTTTTAGTTGGTTTCAAGATCAACTCTTAGAATTCTATACAGCAAAGACAAAAAGCATGGCCAAGCACATTTTCTTTCACATACACTCAATATATAACATTGTTTCTTATCTATAAATGGCCAAGCATAAGGAACATCTCTTCTCATCACCAGTGCTAAGAATCACTCTCACATTTTCTTTTAGTAACTACTTCAGACACACAACACTATCTCAAACACGGACCATTTTTCCAATTTTCACTTTAGGTGGTACTAGAGGACAGTCAGTACAACGGAGTAGAAAGTGAAAAGGTAGTAAAGGAGTGCATAACATCAACCTGCTCGCCTTTGGTACAGTGGTCACTGTTTCCACCCTAAGCCTTCTCATCACTCTCAATACTTATCAGTTGGACATATTAGAACAGTGGAGGAAAAAACTCTTCCCCACCACAGCAGGAAGGTCTCATTTTCATTTTTCTTTCTGCTGCATTTCAATTCCACTACAGGAGATAAAGAAAAAGGTCTATTCGCCAACTCTACATGTTTTATACAGTCCTTACTCATGATCTTTCTTTTTTTTAAATTTTATTTATTTTTATTGTATGTGTATGCATGTATTGCCTGCATGTAGGTAAGTGCACCCGTGTCATTCAATGCCCGTGAAAGTCAGAAGAGGCTGTTGGATCCCCTGGGACTGGAGTTATGGACAGTTGTTAGCTGCCATATGGGTGCTGGGATTCGAACCTGGGTCTTCTGCAAGAACAACCAGTGTTCTTAACCACTGAGCTATCTCTTCAGCCCCCATGATCTTACTTCTCAATGACTGCTTTGTTTCCTTTTTCATTCCACTCCAACTTATTTCTTTCTTTACCAGTATATCCCTGAAAAATCTGTACTTCACACTGTCCCAACTCAGTCAAACATGCATCATCCATAAATAGCACATACCAATTTATATCCTTTTTCTTGCCCAAATTTTAGGGTTATGTCCTGTTTCCCCATTTATCTTATATTAAAGCATTAAAAGAAACCAGTATTAGGAATAAGAAATAGGAGGAGAATCCTCTTATTTCCTATAAAATAATATAGCACTAACAACAAACTCTCTATGCTTAAAGCACGTTACTTTAATCTTTTTAGGATTCAGTCCACTCATCTACAAAATGAAAGAATTAATTTAGATCATATTCCAAATATGGCTGATAAATTTCCAATTCCTAGTGTTAGAGATGTTAAAACTGTAGGTTCAAGATAGAATGCAATTTCTGATCATCTATGTTTGGAAATCATTAATAAAAACTAAGGGTTCTTATAATTTTACATTTCAAGATTCTAAGCTAAAATTTTCACTACAGTTCCTGGTACTAAAACTGTTACAAAGGAGTACAATTTCCACAGTTACTGGTACTACAGTTCAAGTTTGTTACTGACTAAATAAGCCTTTGTAGGTTGACCTAGTATCTAACTACCACTTATACTTTGGTAACAGCTAATTTACAAATGAGCTTGTGAAATACCTTTACAGAGGGCAGAGCAACAGTACTACACTATTACGTCCCCAAAGTAAAACACTAAAAATTATTTCTTTGGGTTATTTGCCCAGACTTTCATATAAGGCACCAAAACAACTGAGCCTAGGCCATGTCAAACGTAAAAGTTAGAAGAGGCATGCTCATCCAGGTCATTTACTTTGCTAGTTAACTGATGGGGTATTACATATTGCCAGATAAAGGTCTAGAGAAGCCTGGAGTGTTGATGGAATTCAGGGCATTAAAATGCCAAAAGAATAGCCTCATTAAAATGTTTAGACTTCCAGGACTTTACCAGCCCAGAAGCACATTAGAACATACAAGCTTGAATTATATGTATCGCTTTCAGTTCTGGCAATTTCTTAGTACTAATCCTCATTATGAACCAAGTGTTCCTCTGGTTAATATTTGGAATCAAAGACATGTTTAAACATGTGGGACTGAGCATAACAGTAGCTTGAAGAGATGATGACACATTAGCAGTGCGTTAATTTAAATGGAACCTATTTATTTATGAGTAAATGAATAACAAAAAGTATTACAAAAAGGTAAGAATAGAAACTGAATTACACACTAGTCATGTTCTTTAAAATGATGTACTTAAATTTGTACAAAATGGCACAATAAATTGCAGAAAAATGGGTCTACTTATTTCCTCATTTCGCCAAACAACATAAAAACCCATACTGAATGCCATTATGTAAGTGCATTTTGTGAATATCAAGAGTGATGTAACTGTTGCTATGGTAACCACTCATTTTATTCAATTGTGGTTGGGAATTAAAGCATTTTGAATATAAAAAATTCAATAGATTAATATGCTTGCCAAGGCTCTTCTATTGGTGCCTATTAAACAATAGCTATGAACCATCTTTGGGGATATCAAATAGCCTCTATTCAAACCAAGGCCTGAGTTGTCAAGGAAAGAAAACTTTGAATAGTTTTAGAAATTAAATGCATCAACAACATTCAAAGGAAGAAAGCCACTTGGAATGAACTTTTAGAGCCATGGAAAAGTGTGCATGGGTGACAAGTTAACATGATCTCACGTCTTTGTTCTTTCATTGTCATAACTTCTCTTCTAACCTAAATTATTAACTAGGAATCTGACTAACATTAGAAGCCTGCTGACTTTTCATTTTGTAATTATGCTAAAGCAAAAGCAGGCTAAAAGTATCCCATTTTGAGACTTCAGAGAATTTTTTCCTGAGTCTATGAAAAATACTGCAAATTGTCCGAATCTTAAAAAGTTGCTCTGCTCAAAAGCCTACATTTAAAAATACCAGGATAACTGTAAAATCCAACCATAAAAACTTCTCTGGTATAAGTAAAAGCCAGTAAAGCTTCCCTGGTGATCTCACACGGAGGGGGCTGCACAGAGGGCCGGTTTCAGGGGCTTCTGTGTCTACCGGAGGCTCGGTGGTTAGAGACTTCAACACTGCACGGATCTTGAAAGCCTACCCCAGATCTCTTCCAGGCCTGCCTCCACAAACAAGATGGGAGTGTTTGCGGCGGGAGAGGGCAGCTGGCTGTCGCCCCTTCCCTGGCTACAAGGTGAAGCACGACGAGCTCCGCCGTAGGGCCTGCTGACTTCGCATCCCGGGAAGCCCAGGCTGGGGAGGCCTGGGCACAGCCCCACCAATGGGCGACGAGGAAAAGGGGCTGTCGCCAGCCAGGAGAACAACAGGCTGGTTCGGCGCAGCCCGAGTGAGGGGCAGCTCCGCGTCTCCGTCTTTCCCCGACGGAGCCTACGTCTTCGGGTTTTACCTGGCGTCCCTCACTACGGACAACCCTACCTCCTGAGTGCGTGGGGGTGACTACGGTCTCAGCACTCCGGCCGGGGACAGGGGCTGCGGGCCGCGACTACCCTGAAGGCCCTGGCCACCGAGGCTGCGGGAGGCGGGCCGCGACCTGGGCCGACGTGCGGCCACAGCGCGTGTCGATGGTGGCTTGGCAGGCCGGGCAGGCTGACAGGGCCGAGGGCCGCGCTTCCCCTCCCCCGTGCTGTTTACCTTCGCGGTACTTCTTGCGGAGCCGCCGGTGGACGCTCTTCACCACCCCGGACAGCTTCTCCTGCTCCAGCTTCCGCTCCTGCTCGCGGGGCTGAGCGGCGCTGGGTGGCCGCTGTCCACGCGCAGCGCCTCGGCCGCCGGGCCCAGGCTCCATAGCGCCGCCGCCGCCACCGCCGCCCCTCGGGCCCCCGCGGTCGCTCCCCGGACGGAGGAGGTGGGGAAGGAGGAGGCAGCCAGCAGCGGAGGCAGCAGCCTGAGGAGACCGAGGGGCCCAGGCGACGGCCTGGGAGGCGGTGTCTTCCCAAGCGCGCAAGATGATTGGTGGATTGCGGAGGGTTGGGCGGAAACGGAAAGAGCCTAAGGCCAATGGACGGAGGGCAGCGGCGGAGCACCGGGTTGTTTGGAACCAGCAGCTGGAGGAGGCGGGGCTCGCCGCTGGGGGCCTACGCGGAGGGAGCTCAGGGCCCCTCGCTACACCACTCCGCGCGTGCACTGCGCAGGCGCCCTGGCGCGACTGGGGGAGGCTTGTGGTTTCTTGCGTGCCTACGTCCGAGACTTTGCTTAGTTTGTGCTAAATTTTACAGTTTAACTTTGGCACATTTCCCAGCGTTTCGATCCTTTATGTGTCATATGATGCTACGGGGAAGGGATGGTCCACCAGAGCTCCAGCTGCACCTTGTCACACCTTATGTAGATTCCTTTCGGCCAAGACGCCCTTTAAATTGCACTTGACAGTGCGGTATTTTACACTCCTGGGGGAAATCCAAGCTTGTATGCTTTCTTTGGGGCAAGGAGAGGTCAAACAACCAAATCCTGAATTAGTTCTAGAGTTAAGAGAGGTTAATGCCTGTTGCTGGGCTAAACAGGGAAAACAGGGAAAGGAGTGGTGCCACATAAGCAGTTGGAAACAATGAAACACAATGGATGTTTTTTAGAACTTCTGTAGTGACCATGGTTTTAACAGGCAAACCTACCTTGTTGTAGCTTTCCGTAGAACTCAGGAAAGTTCACTCTGGTGGCCTCTCTCGCTCCAGTTTGGAGGAATAGTTCACCAGAGTTCAGCAGTCCGTCCCCCCCCCCCACGCCCCCCCCTCCCCACCCACCCCCACTCCCTCTCTAGTTTACATTCTTGGCTAAAACTCTTGGAGAATGTTTGCTGACTTGTTACCAAAAAAAAAAAAAAAAGAGGGGGGGGGACACTCTTCCAAAAAGGGATTATTTTAGCTCTGAACTGGTACCTAGACTGCTGGAGTTTCAGAGATGCAGAGACAGAGCCCCAGAATGAATTGTCTGCGATTGTGGGGCTACCTCCACCTTACAGCTGTTGGTTACATGACTTGGTGTAGACATTGTTGCAATGAAACTTTCTGAGCAATGAATTCGTGAATATTAGTAACACTTTCCTTATATAACTGTTTCATGCTACCTTTCTGGTAAAGATGATCCCAGAGACATCATGCCTACTTTCCAGATCACAGAAACAGGAACATCATTAGTGAAAAAGATCAAACTCAGACACTTCGCACACTGCAGAAAAACTCATTGCAACTCTGAAGAAAAATTACAATAAGTAATGAAGAAATTACGAATATGGTATCTTATTTAGGGAAATTTCATTTGGAAAGAAAGGAGAGCTTGTATCTTTTTTTTTTTTTCTCTTTCCACATACAAGAGTCAAAGGTGAAAATATTTGAAAGTTACAATGATAGTGAAGACGGTCATAAATGTCATTTATACTAAATAATATGATTTTTAAGAGTGTTCATTTCCTTTTTTTGCCACCATCTAGGGAAGTAAATTTAATAGTGTGGCTTTTTTAAAGATTTATTTTTAGTTTTAGTTATGTGTACCCATGTGGGTTTGTGCACATGCATGCCCGGGCCGTTGGAGGCCAGAAGAGGGCGTCAGATCCCCTGGAGCTGGAGTTGCAGGCAGTAATGAACTGCCATCAGTCTGATGGGAACCCATCTAAGGTCCTCTGTGAGAGTAACTCATGCTCTTAACCCTGGCCCTCTCTCCAGGGGTTTTGTTGTTTTGTTTTAACTTTACTTCCTACTACTGGAAGATGGATTTTTAATTTCTTTTTTAAAGTTAAAAATATTCACTGAGGGGAATTTGGAAAATATAGAAAGGATTAAAGAAGAAAAAAGTCACCTGAACTTCCAAGACTGATAGGTAACTGTGAACATTTGTCTTTGCTTTTATACACTAATTTCAAATGGGGATCATCTCTTGTATACATAACCTACTATTTTGTTAGTTAACATTCAATGACTTCATATTTATGTTGTCTCCATTTTTTTTCTGAATTACAAATTCTATGATAAATACCTTTGTACATTTTTTCTTCAATTATGCAAATCATTAGATAAGTTCCATTAAAGTCAAATTCATAACACAAAGGGTCAAATCTATTAATTTTTAAAATGATTTTCATGTGTATGAGTATTCTCGCACATTATGTAAGTACATTATGTACATGCAATGCTGGCAGAAGCCAGAAGAGGGTTGTCAGCTCCCCTGGAACCGGAGTTACAAATGGTTGTTAGCTATAGTGTGAAGAGCTGGGAATCAAACCTGAGTCCCTTGTAAGAGCAGCTAATGCCTTTAACAACTGAGACATCTGTCCTCCACCAAATGTATGAAGGTTTTTGATGTCTATTGCCTTTTTCAAAATGGGCTAAGAGTCATCACTTCTGGTGACATTCATGTGTCAGTGAATGTTCATGTGTATTATCTTCACTCGTACCAAATATAGGTATTTACATTTGCAAATTGCTCATAAAACTCTTTCAAAGATCTCTGTTTTGAACTCATGAGTAAACTTCTTGCCTTTTTTTTTCTTTTTTAAAATATATTTTATTTATTATTTTTACGTGTATGAGTGTATTGCATGCAGGTATGTAAGTGCACCCCTGTCATGTGAGGACTGTGGAGGCCAGAAGAGGATGTTGGATCCCCTGGAACTGGAGTTACAAACAATTGTTAGCTGCCATGTGGGTTCTGGGAATCGAGTCTAGGTCTTCTGGAAGAACAGCAGGTGTTCTTAACCACTGAGGCATCTCTTCAGCTCCACCTTTTTTTTTCTAACTTTCTCGAGGGGCAACTCAAGAACTAGACATTGGCTAGCCAAATTTCACTTAAATTTGTATGAATTCAAATGGAGCACAGGCTTATATATACTAATGAACACCAATACTAGATCACAGTATAAAGGAAGCTTGTAACTATTACTCTCCTCACCTTATGTAGTAATATTGAATAAAGCTTTCCATCTGCTATAGTAGAAAAGGAATGGTAACAAGTTTCTCCATTTAAGTGAAATAACTGTCACAATTGCTGGAATAAGAAATTCACTGTAGGAGGTAAGTTTGATGTCATATTGAACATGCATACCCTATGCTGAAGAAAACAGCACCTTTCCCCACCTCTGGTGCAGATTTTTATTTATCATAAACATCTTACATTTTTATCCTTTTATCAATATTTTAAATGGATGCTGGGGAAAGAGTTTTAAAGCAGTAATGAAATGCTTCTTTTAAAAAATAAAATAAATAAGCAAATAAACACTATACATCGAGAAGGACAGACTAGTCTGGGGCAAGTACCATTTCTAATGAGTACATTCTACCCGGGGTCACTCATTCTCATTCTCATTCTTTGCCTTATCTGCCAGCTTCTGCACCTCCCCCAGTGTGTCATAGGAAGGGTCCCAAGTGGAAGAACCATTTGAGATAGTGATGAGGAAATGTCTTGTCCTTTTTGTTTATAATCACATTCTATGAGAAAAATGAATTACCGTGGATGACAAAGAGAGTCAACACACTGTAATAAAACAGAAGTTAAAAAAAAAAAAAAAAAAAAAAACTCAGTAACGAAAGCAAACTATTTTTTTTGGTGAGATTCTGCCATTTTTATTTCTTGAATACATTTTGTCTTCATTGTTGGAGACAGGGGAGGGAGTCTGAGTATTATCAAAATGTGTGAAATTCCTGAATAAATAAAAATATATAAAGAAAATTTTTAAAATTCACATCAGAATCTGGGATGTGGCAGGGCACACCTGTAGGTACTGAGTGACCCTGCAAAACATACTGCCGCTATTGAGCATTCCTGCAGAAGAAACTGCATAACTGAAATTAGGATTCTTTAAATTAAATTATTTACATTTTATTTTTCACTTATTTTATTGGTGTTGTCCACTTCACTTTGCCTTTTTAAATTAGAGATGTTAAGTTTATGTTTGTAAAACATTTATAACAATGTGCATCAATAGTGCAAAAAAGATTTGTTCAACCCCTCATTATTGAAGATAGAACTATATTCTATTCCAAGTTGGGAAGTTTTTTGGCACATGACTTATAGAAATTCACTTAAAATGAAGACTGGAAAAGTAAGATCTCTATTATTTTGGAAATAAATGCTTCCTATTATTAGGAAAGTTGTTACTCATGAGTGAAAAAGTATCCATAAGGTTTAAATCTTTTGTTAATTTTTAAATTGTAGAAACATTATTGGTTGGGACTATTGTAGGTAAATTTAAAAATCTTTGTGTTTCTGGAAGTTATCTAATGCCAAGTGGGCCGTCCTAAACACATAAACATGAGCACCACTAAATGGACTCAGTGCATTTTATATATGTGCTTATAAATGTGTATGTAATAATAATCAAAAAGAGGACAAGAAATTGAGTGTGGGTCAGGGGATATAGTAAGAATTGGAAGGGAAGGTGGAGGGGTGGAAAAATGCAAATACAATACTCATATATGAACTTCTCAAAAGAAACTGTTTTACTTATTTTATTTCAACTCATAGAAACTTTCTTTGGAAAATGTATTAAATGTTTTCTTAACTGATTACTCTGATAGAAACAAACAATACAGACTCAGGAAAGAAAAATATTCAGCTGATTTATTTTCATTCAGTAAAACAAATTACAATTTTAAAATCCTATTTATTGAAATATCAATAATTTAAATATTATGTTTAAAATTGATTCCACTATCTATTTGCATTTATTAATATATCTTCAAGCTAACACATAGATTACCTGTCTCTCCAGAGTTAGTACACAGAATAATATTCACAAACTAACTTTAACCACAATAAGTTATGACTATTAATACCTGACTCCAAATGCAACTATTAGATGCACAACAATTTTGTGATATGTTAATTAATTAAATACATTGAACAATCATAAAAGAATTAATATAGTAATAAGCCTACATAGAAAATGGCAATAAATTATGCCCATATAATGAGGTATAAGACTGGGAGATAGATGTTAGGCCAGGTAGTACAGGCCTATAATTTTAACTACTTGGGAGGCTAAAACAGGAGGATTTTTTTATTTTTATCATGTTCAAGAAATAAATACATTTTA